AAGATGACTAGCAATAAGGTTTATCCCATGTCCTCAAGAACGTAACGGAGTACTCACGCCAAAAAAAGACATAGGCAACAATTTTGATAGAGAAAACATAGGAAACGATCATCGTTGTCGATCATTAGTAAATGTAATAGGAACGTATTCACTTCCAAGTAATTCACAAAAGACATCCTTCAAACTTGTTCATAGATTGTTTCACGCTATTTTTTGGCTTATATTTTAGATTTGATTTGTTCGTTCACATCTGATTCATTTATATTGTTCAAATATATGCATTCTTGATTATCTCTACCTAATAATAAAGCACGGATTGCTTCTACCCGTCTGTCCGTAGCACCTTTTTGCAAAAAAAACTGTGTTTTTTTAAATCAACCCGCAATCCGGACTTAAGTCACACTCAAACCGTTATTTTACATTTTTAAGAAACCCCCTGACATTTTAGGTAATTCATCTGCGGATCATATTTAAGTCAAACAAATGATTTTCTAAATCATCCATATCTTTTAGACCGTAACTCCGATTTTTAACATGTTATATATAAAATTTGATTAACATTGGAATCTGAATATGATGTTAATTTTACCTGTTAAATATTTTTTTAAATATTATTTTGGAAGCAAACTTATAATCTATAGCGTACGATCCATTTTTCTTTCGTATCGGCGGCGATCCGGATTGCAAATAAACACCCACTATAACCATATAGAAAAAAGAAAACATCGATAACTACACATGCATACCTCTGGAAAACATCGTAGAGGAAAACAACAGATTCTCAGAGAGAGAGAGAGAGAGAGAGAGAGAGAGGGACGCCTTAGAATTAACCACATTCAAACACGTTTTGATTTGTGTGAACACTGAAGCCATCGCCGGCGAGGGTGAGAAGGAGGATAAGCTGCAACACAAATATGATGCCTCGTTAAAATAAAGGAGATGTACTATTGTGGTCTTCACTCTTCAGTGATGATTGTCGGGTTAAGAGTGTGTGTTATTTATTTTTCCCTGTTGTAACGCACGGGCTCTTTTGCTAGTTCATGCTAATGTTCCTTTGGGGATGATTTATATGGCAGACATTTGTTAGACATGCTGCCTACAGTGTTGCTTAACTTCTTAGTTGCAGTTTTAAATACTTCACTTAACTTTCGTGCTGCAGTGGATCTCTATGCCAAGGACGCAACGGGTCATCTACTTGTTCTCCCCATCAAAGAGGTAACCGTCAGTGGCGATGATATTTCTGAAGATAACTTTTTATTTGTATATTTCTTCTCAACAATATATTGTATATAGCAGATGAAACTAAGCTGCTGTGTATTGTGTATGTGTCGATCCCTAGTCCCTACACCTTGATGTCTATAGTGTGCTCCACCGCAGACGACGACGCGTCCACCGTCAAAGTGCGCACGGCGGGCGAGCCAAGCGACGGGTGAGTCACCGTGAAGCTGTACTCGCCGTGGACGAGGTCCAGCTCGGTCACGCCGTTGGCGTCCATGGTGGCGCCCTCCGGGTGTGCCCTCCATTCAGCGATGAGCTTGTCGACGCGGTCGCCGGCGGGGAGATTGTTGAAGTTGTTGTCCGTGAGGCACATGACCCAACAGCCCTGCGCGTGCCAGGCCGCCCACATCACCATGCCCTCCACGTTGGGGTGCCCGTAGCCTTCCCTCAGCACCTCCTCCAGGTAGACCGGCACGTAGGGGGCGCCCTTCGGGCCGACGTCGACCTCGGTGAGCCAGATGGGGATCCGGAGCTGCGCGAGCATGTCCAGCGTCGCCCTCATGTAAGGGATGTTGGGCGTGCCGAAGTGGCTCTCGAGGCCGACGGCGAGCTTGATGCCGCGGTTGCCGGGGTAGGAGCGTATCTGCTTCAACTTGGCGACGTACTTGCTGGGCATGGCAGCCACGTCCAAGGGCTCCTCCAGCGTGCCGAACTCGTTCATGAACAGCCTCGCCGTCCGGTCGATCCGCGCCACCCGCTGGTACACCTCGGACGACGCGTTGCGGCCGAGCCTGCTCTCGAAGAATTGCCCGTGGAGGTTCTCGTTCACCACGTCCCAGGCGATGACCTTGCCGGCGTACCGCGACACCACGGAGCTGATGCGCTTCTGCATGGCCGCCTTCAGCCGCTGCGTGTCCAGCGGCTTCACCCACGACACCTGCGTGTCGTTGGTGTCCCAGAGCACGTTGTGGCCGCGCACCGCGATGCCGTGCTTCTCGGCGAGCCGCAGCATGGCGTCCGCGATGGTGTAGTCCTCGTGGTTCTCCATCCACTCCGTGCTGTACCACTTCATCTCGTTCTCGAAGCTGGCCACGGTGAACCGGGACGTGAACCACTGCTCGTAGGCCGGGATGTCGAGGATCTCCTTGGTCATGGCGTTGCCGAACGGGAAGCCGGGCCGGAGGAGCTTGACGCTCAGGTTGGCGTTCGGCAGTGGGACGCCGTCAGCGGCCCGGGCGACCACCTTGACGGCGCTCCGGCGGGCCTGGCCGGCCGACAGACGGCGGTGCTCTTCCCACTCGGGGAAGGAGAAGGGCTGCAGAGACACGCTGTCCACCCAGATGTCCACCCTACCATCGGCCTGTACATGCAAACTTAGTTAGAGATACTAATTCCTTGGTTGGCGTTGAACAATTCCTGTGTAATCAATCTACCCACCTCGAAGAAGAGCTCGCCTGGGCCGGAAGAAAAGGCGGTCATGCCGCCCTTGAGCATGCTCCAACAGCCGGACCTGGCGACGGTGGCTCCACCGGCGATGAAGGCGCCGTTGGGAGCCTTGAAGACGGCTCTCACCACCGCCGCGCCGGACGAAACCTGCAACCATGCTGTGCATGGAGCCATATATATACGGGCACATGAGCAACAAGAAAATAGTACAGTACTATCACAAGATCACAAGTAAATGACGATGGTGCAGTACGTATGCTTGAGTTTACCAGAGAGGGAGTAGTGGTGGTCGCTTTCCATCTGGATCTTCTGGTAGACGCTGCGCGACGGCTGGCCATTGTTGCTCGCCGACGCCAACGCGAAGTTGTTGCCGGACGGCGAGCTGCTCACGTTGGCCGTCACGCCCCACGGCACCGACCAGCCCGTCAGGCCGCTGTTGAACTCGCTGTTCTCAATGATGCCGCCTTTGTACAGGGCTCGTATCGGGCTGCCCAAGCACTGGATAACAAGATGAAAACAACATTCTTTAGTTGCAAGATAAGAAGAAGGAACACTAATCCAACAATATATCTGATCCAGTAATTGGCAGAAAAATTAAAGGTACTACTTGCCTTAATGCTCGCGGTATAATCATAGGGAACCGACTGGACCATCCACCCTACAATGTGCAAGGGGGAAACAGAGATGCGTCACGCCATTAGAATATCTTACAATGTGCAATCGGTGAAAACTTGAAACATATAGTACAACAAACCGCAAGGAACTTCCCTGGTGTTGGAAATACAAACTGGGGTAAAATGAACTTGGGAAAACTAACCTTCAAACAGGGAAATGCAGAGCAAAAAAATGAGCAATTTCCCCATGGTAACCACCAGTGTGTGTCGCTTCTTGTTTTCTTTTTTCTTTTTTTTCAGGGATATGCCACTTCTACTTGACGGAGAGAGGTGAATATGTCCGGTGAATATATAGGCATAGGGTAATTAATTCGTGCTTGATAATGCCAAGGCGGTGTGTTGCTAATTGTTTCAATCTTTGACTCAAGTCAGCTCGAACGAAAAATAAAACAAATCTTTGGCTCAACCGGAAGACAAGGCAAGAGGATGCATTATGTGCGGATGCATTAAAATCGTGCTACTTATGGCTTGTTTCATTTTTTTCAGGAAAAAGGGAGTTTTATTCCATATTTACAATCCAGATGCAGTAATTGCTCTATACAAGGAGGTCCTTCACCAAGCCGCGTGGCCGGTCATTGACTTTATAATGCCAAACAATCTGCTATCCTATTTTGCTCTAATCTTCCTGATAAGCATGTGGGCTTTAATCTTCGCAACTAAGTCCCCATACGCCGACCTGCTTAGTCTAGAATCGGAAAGACTTGACGATGCTTCAGAAGATCAAGTCCTTATCTTTTTTATCCCCACTAAAAAACCATATGTTTTGCTATAATGCAAATACTTGCATACATGCAAATGATTAGTGTATACCAAAATTAAGGCAATACTAATAGATATTGTGAATTTTTGTCATATAATAAATAAATAAAAGTTTGGTAGCTAATCAACCGGACATCCAACTTTGGGGAATCCTAAATACCCAATCAATTCTGCATTCTCATATTCTTAGGGCACTGTCAATTCATACCAACGTGATACATGTGGTAAGCAATCCAAACAATTCAAAAAAATGCACTCTCAATTCAATGTATCTTAATCTTGGAACATGCTACAATCACAAACCCCCGACACATGGATCACCACATCACAAACGTACCCAAAAAACAATACATAGACCAACACATCGGACAGCACCAATCGACGGTGCATTCATCAAGCAGTCGTGGATGCCTTCCTAATATCGACGTTGCATCCATCAAACAGCTGCAGACGCCATCCTAATACCGCCATTCTTCTTGCTTTTGATTCTAAAATACTTCTCCTTCAGGCTGCGGATCAGCCAGCGTGCCTCTTCTCAATTGCCCTCACGGTTAGGAGCCAACCAGTTGTCTTGCCAAATTTAGGGCTAGCGGCCTCCAAGCTGGCAATAAAGTTGCAAAGCTTTAATGCGGATAGTACCTTGCGAGTAGGTGCAAATGCACTGGATGAAATGACCTCGTGAACCTCTGAACCAGCTACACAATGGACTCCAGCGAGAGAAACACAACAGAATCCATACCTGCACGCTCCATGAAGGCGAGAGGTTGGTTGGGTTCCAACAATGGTGGTGTGGGCGATGAGGCCTCAAGCGAGACTGCCCCTAGATTCACCATCAAAAGAGGCACAACAAGCACCCCACATAGTTGTTGAAGTTCTAACGTGGTTTGAGAAACCGTAGCCACGATGACAGCCTCCCTTCCAGAGGCAGACATCACAAAGGAGGGCGACTTCAAGGCCTGGCACAAGGTGAGAAACAACCATAGAGGTATGTTTTACCCTCACTCGCGGAACCAACACAAAGCTAGGCCAGCAGAGGCACAATTGATAGCATGCTAAGAAGAGCCTCCGTTGTCACCAAAATCCTCCCAACTCTCGCTAGGCAGCCTTGCAGCTCAGCTAGCTCCAGGAGCATGGTCTGCGGCAGTACATCTACCGAGGTTGCAACGTTGGCGGGTAAAGGTGTTGTGGGAAGCAGTGGGGCAACACATCGGAGCGGCATATTCAGGTTGATGAAGGGCTTTGCACGGCCAAATCGGATGTTGTCGCCGTGTCATAGGTAGCTTGTGCACTGGATTGCATCCCTGCATGAGTAGGCTCAACAACCTTTTGAGAGGCACCAAAAGCATCGGCGCCTCATCCATGCCGGAGGAGCTAGCTACGCGTTGGAAGTGGGACGGTGGAAGGCCGGTGAAGGAGGTGAGCCACAACGCCTTACCTTGGCGACGTGCTAGTCCCCAATAGTTCAACACAAGTAAGTAGCAGGCTCCATGTTTCGGCGACACACCCACACCCTCCACCCTAATCCGGGCGAACATGTCGCATCCAGCAACGGCGCGTGACAAACTTGCGAGGACGGCCAGTGCAGAGGTGGCAGCAACGTTCAGGGAGTGGTGAGCGTTGTGGCCGGGGCGGTCCTCGCTGGGGGAGGCTGGACGTGGGGTCCACATGGATGGTCGGGCATAGAAGGTGGTGGGGACCCAAGCACCTTGTCAATCTGGTCAAGGGCATGTCTGGGAATTAATAGGCTAATCGACAAGTTAATTGGCCATTTAATCACTCAATCGGATGATTTATCAGTTTATTGGCAACTTGGTGATCCTACGAGTAGAGATTAATTGGTAAATTAACTGGTTAATCGGATGAGTTCTTGAACAGTGATTTTCTATAAGACTATGTTGCTCGTAGAAGTATGTATCAAGTTCGTGTCCATCAGTTTTGAATGAACTTGGGTTCAGTGATAAAGATGCACCAGTGGCTTATGGGTTTTCGGTCTTTGAGCCTCACGGTATACTTGTCCTTAAACAGTTTCTTATCCTAAAATCTAGGAGGAAATACAAAAGGATTCTGTCAAATCTATAGGCTTCCAGCATCTCTGAAATTGTGTGTGACCACCAACTATCATACTAACACCCATTTCAAAGATTTGAGGGAGCGGGCCAACGACTCAACGTGCTATTGTTAACCCTGGTTAGGTCTTATCTCACCCCTAAGGTTAATTAGTAAGGACCCTAATAGCCAGCGAACGTTCACTGGAAGGGAAAAAAACGTAACCCCATGCAAGCTATCGGCCTCGACGACACCTCTTTTTTTTTCGATAAAGGGCGATTTTATTAATTCAAAATGTAGCATCAAGCGGATACAACGGCACCTCTTCTTGGATGGACATGCCGCATTTTCCCTCCGCCGCCACGCCATCGGTCTCTCCATCGCCCGTTCATGCCCGCCCTTAGAGCATCTCCAACAGGCGCACAAAAAAAGCTCTGCGCACTAAAAGTTTGTTTTTTTGGGCGCCGGACAGCTCCAGCAGAAGCTGTAGTGCAAAAAGCTTTTGGGCGCGCGCTGAAAAACACTATCGCGCGCAGCATATTTAAGGCGCCGGATTGCGGTGCTTCATAATTTGCACTATCTGTTTTTTAGGCGCGCGTTTTTGGGCACCTGCTAAAGCAAAGTTGGCCCCGGCGCCTTAAAAGCGTTACAGTGGCGCGCTATAACGTTTATTGAGCGTGGACTTTTTATGCGCCTGTTGGAGATGCTCTTAGCAGGACAACTCATCGCCGACGCATCATCGTATATCCGGCCCGAAGCGAGAGTTGAAAACTCTAGACCGCTAGCCACATCCTCCGTTGGGGTCTTTGGATACCTTCTTTTTCTTGGACGTCTTTGGGTGCTTTCTGTTGGAGTCTTTGGACACTCTTCCCATAAAGCGGAAGGCAGTGACAAAATACGTTGCGGAAACAACACATGAAGCGTATACAGCGCCAAATTGACACGCCGTGAAGAAGCATGCACGCCCATGCATGCATCCGTCTACGGCGGCCGATCGACGACGACGCCAGAGCTTTAGCTAGCTGTCCACAACAACAACGGCCGAGCAGGACGTGAGCCACGTGGCCGGCGAACCCATAGCTTCAGCTTGCTGTTGTGCACAGCACAACGGCGGCCGAGCAGGACATGAGCCAGATGGCCGGCGAACCCATAGCCTTGGCTAGCTGTGCACTGCGCAGCACAACAACGGCACAGGTGGACATGAGCCACATGTGCATGCTTGGACGTACGTGCATGGCTTCTGCGTGATCGTCATGCATGCATGCAGAGCACGAGGTTTGTTTGTTTGTTTGTTTGTTTTTGAGCAAATGCAGAGCACGAGGTGAGGCGGCAACTTTTCGTCCCAGCCCTTGCAGGTATCAACCATCCTCGGTCCACCCTCGTAGTAGCAGGCAGATACACTGAGTCAGTGACCAATGTGTGGTAAGCGCTGAAGTGAGGGTTCTGGTTGAAGTTTCTGGGCTCAGCGCCCTGTTTTTAACGGGGGCTCGCGTCTTCGTCTCAGCCACTGCTCTCACTGTCACTGACTCTTTCCTGCCATTGGAGCTCAGGAGCAAAAGCCTGTAGTCACCAGTCCGCCGAAGGCTGCTCGGATGGCTGTCATCGGCACGGCGGGGGCGGAGGTGCTGATACCGCTGGCGGCGGTGATCGGCATCGCGTTCGCGGTGTTCCAGTGGTACGCGGTGGCCAAGGTGCCGGTCCCGTCCCACGACGGCGAGGATGGCGGCGGCGCCGCCCAGAAAGGCCGCAGCGGGCACGATGAGAGCGCGGAGGACGGCGTGGACTACCGGCAGGTGGAAGCCCGGTGCGCAGAGATCCAGCACGCCATCTCCATCGGCGCCACGTCCTTCCTCTTCACCGAGTACAGGTATACACACCTTTGATGTCAAATTTTGCTTTCCGAAATGTTATCGGGTGCCACTTGCATAGAGATGAAAAATAAAAAAACACGCTACATAATAATAAATTGTTTCTCTTTATTACTATTATTTTTAGCAAGTAATATTGGCATGTTCTTGAGGTTGCGTGGTGATTATAGATGACTAACAAAAATCATGGTACAATGCAAAAGAAAAACATTTTCTGAAGAAAATGCCAAAAAGAATATGTTTGGTTTCTATATATATATAATACTCCCTCTATAACAAAATATAAGACATTTTTTGGCACTATCATCGTGTCAAAAAACGTCTTGTATTTTGATACGGAGTATAATATAATAATTTTCTCTTATTGTTATTTTTAGCAATTAACATTTGCATGTTTTTTATCTTAGGTGGTGATTAAATTTAAAAAATACTATATGAGTAACTGAAATTAAAGTACGATGACGAAAGATATATTATTTGCAGAAAATGCTAATAAAATATTAGGGTAATGTTATTCAGCGGACGCTCTTTGAGTGTGCATGACCAAACAAATGTCTTTTGCGACAAATTTATGTGTTGGTAGCATGGCAGTTCTTTCAAGCGAACACGGCAATTTCGCAGCAAAATTCTTTATGCCAAAATTTACCATGTGTTTGAAGAAATTGTCATGTGTATCCGAAGAACTTGCCATAAAAAACACTCGTAAATGGCGTGCTTCCAGGGGTATATGTTTGGCTTAGTTAGCCAGACAAAAATTTCATCAAGATTTTGCTTTCCGCTGTCGGCCAACATTTACAGGAAAAATAAAGGGATTGGCATGTACCCAAAAAAAAATTGTAAGCATCCAAACAAGCAAAAATATTTGTCGAAAAAATGGTATGATGGGTATTGAATTGGCCACCATCTAAGCATGCCCAAAAAATATTACGGGGTGATGAACTAAATTTACACTTCAAATGGGTGGAATCCTTCCGAAGTTTGAAGAAATTCATTAAAATATGAATTGTACTGAGTCTGGCTTGAACTCGTGTGTCAACCGAATATTTTGACAGATAGTCAAAAAAATTATATCCTAATCCTATTGAAATGTCCGGAATTCAGGTACCTCGCCGTGTTCATGGCTGGGTTCGCGGTGGTGATCTTCATGTTCTTGGGGTCGGCGCAGCGTTTCAGCACGCGGCCAGAGCCATGCACGTACGACCCAGCGCGCATGTGCCGGCCGGCGCTAGCGAACGCGGCCTTCAGCATGATCGCGTTCCTCCTGGGCGCGCTCACCTCCGTGATGTCCGGGTACCTCGGGATGCGCGTGGCGACGTTCGCGAACGCGCGCACGGCGCTCGAGGCTCGCCGCGGCGTGGGGCGCGCCTTCGTCGTGGCGTTCCGGTCTGGCGCCGCCATGGGCTTCCTCCTCGCGTCCAGCGCGCTGTTCGTCCTCTACGTCGCCATCAACCTCTTCGGCGTCTACTACGGCGACGACTGGGGCGGGCTCTACGAGTCCATCACCGGCTACGGCCTCGGCGGCTCGTCCATGGCCCTCTTTGGCCGCGTCGGCGGCGGCATCTACACCAAGGCCGCCGACGTCGGCGCCGACCTCGTCGGCAAGGTGGAGCGCAACATCCCCGAGGATGACCCTCGCAACCCCGCGGTACGTACTGGGAATTACTAGCAAAGTTGGGAAAAGATATGTATTGCAGGCATGTCCCTGACCCTGACTCCCTGAGACGATGATGTGTGCATGCAGGTGATCGCTGACAACGTGGGGGACAACGTCGGCGACATCGCCGGGATGGGGTCGGACCTTTTCGGGTCGTACGCGGAGTCGTCGTGCGCGGCGCTGTTCGTGGCCTCCATCTCGTCGTTCGGGACGGAGCACAACTTCGCGGCGATGATGTACCCGCTGCTCATCAGCGCCATGGGCATCGTGGTGTGCTTGGCCACCACGGTCGTCGCCACCGACCTCGCCGAGGTGAAGACCGTCGAGGAGATCGGGCCGGCGCTCAAACGGCAGATCCTCATCTCCACCGTGCTCATGACGGTCGGCATCGCCATCGTCAGCTTCCTCGTCCTGCCGCACAGCTTCACCCTCTTCGACTTCGGCAGGCGCAAGCTCGTCAAGAACTGGTACACCACTACACGCCAGCTCGTCAATTTACAAAATGTAAACTGATACACTTTTAGATTCATGAGCAATTATTGATGGATTTGACATTTGGTTTTGTATGATTTTGCAAATTCAGGTACCTTTTCATCTGTGTGTCGGCCGGTTTGTGGGCGGGTCTTGTCATCGGCTATGTCACCGAGTACTTCACAAGCAACGCTTACAGGTAAATGAAATGACACAACTTACTAAAATCGTACGAACTTCAGCTGAAACGGGATAAATGCTGATTAATTAATCTGTGCTTGAACTGTTCGACGTATGTATACGTAGGCCGGTGCAGGCGGTGGCGAACTCATGCCGGACGGGAGCGGCGACGAACGTCATCTTCGGGCTGGCGGTGGGGTACAAGTCGGTGATCGTGCCCATCTTCGCCATCGCGACGGCCATCTACGCCAGCTTCCGCCTCGCCGCCATGTACGGCATCGCGCTGGCGGCGCTGGGCATGCTCAGCACCATCGCCACGGGGCTCAGCATCGACGCCTACGGTCCCATCAGCGACAACGCCGGCGGCATTGCCGAGATGTCCGGCATGCCTCACGTGGTCCGCGAGCGCACGGACGCGCTCGACGCCGCCGGCAACACCACCGCCGCCATCGGCAAAGGGTTCGCGATCGGGTCGGCGGCGCTGGTGTCGCTGGCGCTGTTCGGCGCCTACGTGAGCCGCGCCGGGGTCGCGGCGGTGGACGTGCTGAGCCCTCGGGTGTTCGCGGGGCTGCTGGCGGGGGCCATGCTGCCCTACTGGTTCTCGGCGATGACGATGCGGAGCGTGGGGAGCGCGGCGCTGGCGATGGTGGAGGAGGTGCGGCGGCAGTTCGACAGCATCCCGGGGCTGATGGAGGGCACGGCGAAGCCGGACTACGCCACCTGCGTCAAGATCTCCACCGACGCGTCGCTCAAGAAGATGCTGGCGCCCGGCGCGCTCGTCATGCTCAGCCCGCTGGTCGCCGGCACGCTGTTCGGCACCGAGACGCTGGCCGGGCTCCTCGCCGGCGCGCTGGTGTCGGGGGTCCAGGTGGCGATCTCGGCGTCCAACAGCGGCGGCGCGTGGGACAACGCCAAGAAGTACATCGAGGCCGGCGCGTCGGCGGAGGCGCGGGCGCTGGGGCCCAAGGGGTCGGACGCGCACAAGGCGGCGGTGATCGGCGACACCATCGGCGACCCGCTCAAGGACACCTCCGGCCCATCGCTCAACATCCTCATCAAGCTCATGGCCGTCGAGGCGCTCGTCTTCGCGCCATTCTTCGCCGCGCACGGCGGCCTCATCTTCAAGCACCTCTGAGTTTGAACTCCGGGTTCGCGCGTCTTGCTGCCTGGACCTGGATGGCCAAGCAGAAGACTTTCGTTGCCAATAATAACCTCTAGACTGGGAGAATTGTATGAGGTGATGAATGGTTAATGTTTACTTTAGTTTCGGACTTAATTCGAGTGCAAACCCGCCTTAGAAATAAGCTCGTGGTGTAGCAAATTGTCACTCTTGAGGCATGACTTCTAAATGCAGCATGGATGCTCGTCTCTGGGCCTTCAGCAGAGTACCATCACGGTGAGGTGTGTTTGGCACCTGTGGGTTATATCTTTCTTTTGTCGAAGTAAAAGAGTTTTTATTCCATGTGATCAGAGTTACATTCAGCTGGCAGAAGCTCGGCAATGCAAGAAGGGCAATTCTGTAGCCAACAAGTTAGACTACACTCTAAGGATTATGTTAATCTTGATTCTTTAATCTCTCTGATTTATCATTTGGCTAACTAACTTTTTCTTATTTTCCCGCCAAATTGGCTATGCAGATTACGGTGTTAGCTGCTGGACGGCAAATCTGAGAAACAGGAAAAGAGAGTGGCTATTCATCCTAAAGAAACGTTTCAATCAGTCAGTTTCTTTCCAGACCATCAGATCGATATCCAACAGATCTCAATGTGTCTTCCTCCTCAAGCCTATCCATGTTCATCTTCTTCCCCACACAGCCGCCCATCTGCCTTTGCCCCCGGCGGTCGGTGCACGCCACCTGATCATCCTCTCAACCTCCCCCTATCAGCATTGCTTGCCGCCTGCCACGACCATCCACCTAAAGATCACCCGTCAAGTTTCAGTCAGTCTCGCCATGGCCGGCACTCCTCACAGTCCCGCCTTCGGTCTCACGCAAAGCCGTAATCGGCCGACACAAAAAAAATCAGGTACCTCACGATTAGCAAACGCAGAAAAACAAACAGGTAATGAATGCTCAAAGAAATGGCCTAGGATTAATAAACCAATTGAAATCGCCAAATCATGAGACGGCCGCACCAGAGTGGCAAACCAGGAAACAACGTATGCACTAATGCACAGCGCACAGCCCGTGTTACATAGACACCGTACAACCAGAAACTAGATTGCTAGACTACCATTAATTTGGACTTGCAAAATAGAGCAAGCTGTTGTGAACCATTCTAATCTCTACCGGCAGTTTTACAAGATAACATCTCCTCTGCCTTTCATTCCACACGGGTGGAAGCTTCTAGCAAAGGGCACATTCCGTGCCCCTGTGAAATGTCATATTGTCCATACTAGACTAATGCAACCAAAAAATTCCTATGTTGCCGTGACGAAAGCTGCGCTCATTCTCAGCTTCAGAATCCATTCCTGAAGATCAATTTTACACGTTCAGTCAATATCACATCCAAGATATATATGGCTGTGCCCAAAGCTTTCTCACTTCCAGTCAAGCTTGCGGGCTTGAAAGTTTAGCATATTATGGATCTAGCCTTCATTGGAGCCAAACGTGATTCCTTATCCTTGTAGCTGCAAGGAAAGACCGGGTTGAAGCCAATTGATGGAGAAAAATGACTCATCCTGCTGTAGAAGGCTCAGAGTCGGTTGTTTCCTCAGCATCTTTCATACAATCGTCTCCAGTTTGATGGCCAGAATCCAGGCTTTCCGGGGCATGTTGTTGTTGATCTGGAGAGCCTGGGCTTGCCTTCCCTACATCATCGTTGCCGTCAGAATTTTTTATGCTTGAAGCAGGTGAGAGTGGTGACGGCTTATCTTCTAGCTTGGGCTTCTTTAGAATATTCCCATCTGCATCTTTGCTGTCCAATGAGCTACGGCTTGCCATGGGTATATTTAAGGCTTCATCGGCTTTTACGGGTCGCTTGGGAGATGGGTTATAATTTTTGTCAGAGTCATTATCCACAAGACCACCAGATTTAGGCCTGAAAATGCCAAGAGATGAATGAAGCACAAGAAACGAAGTATGTTTAAGAGTACAGAAATTACATGATTAGCACAGAAAATAGGACCCAGAAAAATCGACGAGTTATCATCGATGTACACCAGTAAAAGACAGCACATTAATCTTAAACACAGTACAGCTGGTAATATCCCCAGTTGTCGGAGATGAGATACCTTGTAGGGATGTGATGGATTTCACTTCCATTAGCTGGCTTAACCAGGCATTGTTGATGTGCATGTATGGTCTGTGCAGCAGAATCTTCTTCATTGCTAAAGGTAAAACAGAAATGTCACGTCAGCTAAGTAAACAATGCAACATCAAGAGTTACAAAAAACACCTGGAATCCATTCAACCCAGCAACATAAAATAAGAAGCAAATGAGGAAATAAACTTAAGACCTGTCTTTACTGAAATAATCTTCATCTTCCTTATCAAGACCTCTTTCATCTTCCTTTCTCGTATGATCCACACTAGTAGTTTGCGTTTCCTCAGCAATATCCACGTACTAGCAGGAAAACAAAATACCATCACTGTTCATGTCAATAGTACATGGTATGCTAAGGCCTAACTTACTAGAGTGACAAAATTGACAGTAATGACAGAATGCGAGAACAGACAAAGTCTCAACTCTCCACCTCTTGATACTTGAGTTTGAAGGCCTGAATACTTGTCAGTTGTTGAAACATCAAAAGTTGATCCCAAAAAGACTCAACAACATATACGACGAGGGATTTTAGATTTTCCTGTTCACAAAAATGCATCAGATGGCAAAGCCCAGTAGATAATGGTTTTCCTTTTTTTTTAGAGAGAGAGAGAGAGACAGGTATTCTTCCCATACACGTCAATGGATAAGGATGTACCTTTCTTATGAAGTCCAACAGTTCGAGGACCGTGGAGTGTAGCATGTTGTATCTATTCCCATTTTCAACAAATACTTCAATAATTGGTTTCAACGTGTTGAATTCAATGACACGGCTAATTAGAAGCTCGTCCTAGAGAACACAGCAAAAAAAAATATTCAACTCAAATTCAGATATGACAAGAACATTGCAGTTAGGATATGCTTGCCCGCTGGTACGCCTATTCTCTAACGATCAGCGATATAAGGTGTACCAGACAGTTTTGCTAATAGAAGCAAGGAGCATGATTGACAAACATGTTTACTATTGCCTCCGACGAAGGAAGCTAAATCCTCATCTTGGAATCATCAGTCCTTTTATTCGGCTTTATACCGTGCTGCACCAGCTGGTACCACTTCTAGTACACTTGTACATAAAGGGCGGATTCAACTATACAAATCAAGAGATTTGCCTTCGCTACTAAAAAGTCGCCACCGTTGTTAAATATTTTAAGCTGCAAACGACTCTTTTTTTGCAGTAATAAGATACAGGGGTGTATGTGATGCATATAAGCAAACAAGCCTAGGTGTATGAATTTATGATGGATCACTGGATGAAAGATAGGTTGGATTTGGGTGGTCATGATACTGAACTCCACAGGACGTGGGAACCATCATAAGTACGTTCAGCATGTGAGTGGGTTAATTAAGAATTTGTCAGTTGTGCTGCAATAATTACATCCCAGTGAATCTGATCCATTATCCAGTGGTCAACATGGAATGCTTGGTAGACTGTATCTGGTTTTAAGTTGGCAGTCATAACGTAGTCAAGAAGGACCAATAGACTTAGTGATGCGCAGAAGAACCAAAAATTTAAATTATATAGTACATTTCCTGGATGTAAAGAGCCCTCAATGATGCAGTGCTTAATTTATGTATGGGACAAAGTAAATTTCTTACATTTCTGCCAGCACCAATAATAGCACGCATGATTCGGACAGCTGCCACAACCAAAGACCTCTCTCTTCGACGAGTTAGAGTAAGGATCTTCTCCATTGAATTGCTTCCAAAAAAGGTGATCCTGCAAGATTGAGAG